AACATCAAAAAAATATTATCTGGACAAGGATGAAATGGATACTTACAGAACATGTAAGTCAAAGATGGAAAAATTGGGAGGTTTTATGAGATGGAAATATAGGAATATTTCTTTTTGTTGAGACTGTGAAAGCTAAAAGAAAGAGAAAAACAGAGAGGTAAGGGTTTTAAAACTAAAACAACTGCTCAGTGTTACCAAAGAGGTGACTAAGGGAAGGTTAGTCAACTAAGTTATGCCTGCAATTCATAAGAAATGGCCCCTTTTCTTAGATAGAAGCATAGTTCTCCAGCATGATAATGCCAGACATCACATTTCTCTCACATACCCGGAGGTTATGGTAACAACAAGTGCAAATAGTTTCAAAATAAGACTAAGTAACCAACCCTTAACTCAAAGAGCAGTGTGGTCCAAAAATATGGTACAACTTGTGGAAGCAGTTAGAGGTGCATATGCAGCCCTTACAATATAGAAATTGAACAAGGTATGGTTGAGCTACCAACATTGTAATGCCCCAAAACCTGGTATATCACAATTAATTAATTGAAATAGTTAATTAATTACTGAGACGGACTTAGTGGAATTACGAAATATTCTTCGTTTGAAAAAAAGGTTTATACCGTTATGTAGGATTCGACGGAACGAATCCAACGATGCAAACGGATTCAGGTTTGGAGCCCGTGGGCCCGAAAAGTGCGTTTTCGGCGAGGTACATTAAGTTAATACGAAGCCCAAAACCCCAAACCTATAAATATACTTCTTTAAACGCCTAAACCCCTTTAGCCGCTTAATATTCACACAACTTACCCTCTCTCTCCCGTTCTCTTCTTGCGGTCGGAAACAACAGCGAAGAACTAGAGCAACAACAGCGAGGAAGAAGGAGGGAAAAAAGAAGGAAAGAGAAGAAAAGAAGGAAGAAGAAGGAAAAGGAATTCATTGTCTTATTCTCCTTCACTGACACTATTTTGGTAATCCTTAATCGTCAAATTTGAGGTGAGTACGTGGACATCTAACGTATGGTTATAGTCATAGGTTTGAATATTACGTTCGTAGAATCATTACAGTTGAACTATATGAACCCTTACGTGAAATATGCTATGTTTACGTTGTTTATGGTTAAGAAGCATGAATTGGTTAAGATATGTTTACGAGCATGTTAAATAATGTTTGAATATGAATTTAGAACCTATTGATGCCTGCTAATTCGAGTTTGATATTGGTTTGATGTGAGGAAACGTAGATGGCATAGAGTTGGGTTTCGCCGCGACAAACGGTAGGTCGATATTGTTGGCACGGTACCTAGCTAGCCCCCCATGCCTCATTTTTCCTTCGCTCTATCGGTACGTGTCACCAAACGGTACCTAGGTACCAGGAAGATGGTAGGCCCTACCACCGGGTCGGTAGAGGCTACCGTGACAGGCCTACCGGATGGGAGTTATAGCTTACACGGTCGGTACCCACGTACTGTGGGATGGTACCCTGGTACCGTGGGGCGGTACCCCGTACCGTTAAGGCGTAAGGTACCTGAACCGATCCGAATTTTATGTTTGCATCAAGGATCGGTTCCGAGACTTTGTGTGTTGCATGACGGTAAACATGGGTTTCAATACATAGTGTTAGGTCGTTGTTTGAGTATCTTGAATATGCCATTGATGCTTGATTTTTATATGAACATTGTATCATTAATTGTTTATGCATAATGAACAAATCACCTAGAAGAACTCTAGGGACAAACCTGAATGGATTAGTGGCAAGGTATGTGATAAGTTAGTAAGTTAGAGTCATGTGGTATAGACTGGGTCCAATGGCTTTTCGGGTAAAAACGTGTGCACGGGAATCTAAGAAATGTTGTTCTGAAGGGGGCTGGGATCTCACCCACCCACCGAGGAACTCTTGAGTCGGTTTGAGCTTGACCTTCGTTCCAAAGGGGAAGGTCATGACTCTCATAAGCAAGTCAAATTTAGTAAAGCTTTAATCTAGCATAGGTTAAGAGCCAAGTACGAAAAAGAAAGTAAAGTAAATTGAAAAGCAAAGTACTTAATATTTATATCATTGTTGTTTGTATCTTATGAACTGCTATGATGTTGATTATGCATATTATATCTTGTATGATGTATGATTGTTACTAAACATGTTGTGTGCATGATGTCGTATGATGATATGGGCTAGTGGGATCATCTATGGGTATATCTGTATGTTAGATATTTCTCACTTAGCTTCAATCCCGGGGGCGATGAGGAGGTTGAGATGTGCATGGCGGTGTTGGACGATTTCGAATTATTATTTATTATTTGAATCGATTTATTACTTTTACAAGCATGAGTCCCAAGTTGTATTTTGGATTTTGAATTAAGCTTCCGCAATTATTTTGAATATTACTTCGATGAATGTTAAACTAGGTTTTGAAATGTTGAATATTACTTTGGGTACCAATCTAAGTGCAATCCGGTTTGTTAATCCGAGTATTCGGGTTATGCGGGTTGGGGTGTTACAAACATATGATGCAGGAAGTCATAAATGTTGATGAGGGAACAAGTACAAGATACCAAATATGGCAAATGATAGGTTTGCTAGACAAGGAGCACTACCAGTGACTCTGAATGTACACCATACATTGGTAGACAAGACTGTAAGTGTGTTTGCTAAGGGCAGTGGCCTAAGTGGAGAGCAAGTGGTGCTTGAGCTCATGACTGAAGATGGAGAAGCATTCTCATCTTCAAATATGAACAAAGTGTTTATGAAAAACCAAAGGTTTATGTTTTTTGTTAATGATTTGGTATATTTTTTGGCGTTTTGAATTTTGTAAATGCAAATTATAAGTAGGGAGAAGTAGGAAAGTAAGTCCTTGACCCTTTTTTGTTTGAACATCGAGGTAACTACTCAAAAAGTACTCCAATTAAGTTTTCTTTTACTACCACTCTGATAAGTCCGTTTTGTACGCACTTATCTTCTCTATATTTAATGTGTTATGGTCTAATTTTGGATTAAACAAATCAATTTCTCAATGGTTTTTATTATCTTTTATTCATAATTGCAAATGTGTACAAAATTTATGTCTTGTTGTAAAAAGAATAATAATTAAGTCAAAAGTGCTACAAAAAGGTAAAAGATTGTGCAAATGGAATGCAACGGAGCAAAGAGGCAAAAGATGGTGAAAATCCATGAAGTGAAAAATGTATATTCAATTGTGGTGATGCGCCCCGTTAAAAGATTTGAGGTCAAATAGATTGAAAAAGCACCAAAAAGAAATTGTTTGAAAAGAAAAAGTTAAAAATGTTGATTCACTCAAAATTAATTTCTTTGACCCAAATTGGTTCGGAATTTAAAGTCGGCGCAGAAAGAAAAGTTGTTCAGAATAAAATTTTGAGCAAGACTGTACTTTTAGAAAATATTTTTGGACCGGGTCAAATCCAGCCAACCAGGTGCTGCCACGTGGCGCGACCTGGCTGGCCGGCCAACTGCAGCAGCCAGAAAGTGGGTAGCGTCCTGTTTCAGCTGTCCCCCACCACCATCTTAATATAAATAAATAAAAAAAAGAAAGATACACAAGAGGAGCTGTGGAGTGCCACATGAAGAAACAAAAGAAATATACTCCCTAATCCTTTGATTTGCAAGACTAGCACATCTGCCACACTACCTCTCCCGGCGCGCGCCTGCACCTCAGGCCCATGTCGGAGGCCTGGACAAAAAATTTCTCCTATAAAAGGAGGCTTCGCTCCTCCATTCAAATCAATCCTCTCCTCCGGGTCTTTAAGGCCTGGAATTCCATTCTTCACTCTTTTCTCAGTTATATTTTTATATTTTAGTTTAGTTTTGTTCCGATTGTTCCAAAGTGGCTCCGACTCTGCTCTCTGTTGTATGTTTTAATTCTTGCAATTTTAATAAAATGTTTTCTTTTGTCATGCACTCTTAATATTTAGCCTGGGTTAGGACATGGATTAGGGTCCTTGCTAAATTTGGGTTTATACTCTGTATGTTTATTTAATAGTTGGAATAATTGTTTTAGAATTGTTTATATTGTTAAATTAATTAATTATGTCGAGAGAAAAATTAATTAAGTATTGGAAATTAATTTTTGCCTTGTCTATGAGGATATAAGATTAATTAAGCCAAACTTTTTAGAACACATTAATGTTGCCTTGAGAGAGGATAAGTTAATGAATTATTTGTGACAGAAATATTATTATTCCAATTATTGATTAAATATGTGACAACAGTAGTTAACTCAGATGATGCCTTAGCCCGAAGTCTAGTCCTTTACCCGTATTATTTATTTTTTTCTCAAAAACACCCATTAGTTTAGTTAATTTTTATTTTCAAATCAAATCGAGAAGACTTTCAGACTCGTCCAAACCTTCGCCTAGTTATAAAAATTAGCTAATTCCCTCCGTCCACTCCTCGAGAGACATGACACTCGGAGAAAACTAACCCTTCATTGGGAAGGTTGACTTACCGACAAACTCAATCATTAGATGTTGCTGTTGCCTAGTTATAAAAATTAGCTAATTCTCACCTCTTTTCCACAAGCCACCCGTAATAATCATTAAAAATGAATTTTCGAGATGATTACTACGATCCGCCTTCTTCTTACCAACCACCCACCATCCTTTTCCCCACAGTCCAATTACTACCCACAACAGTCCAATTCATATCCACCATCACCACCACCATATTATCCACATCAGGACTCCTATTATGATGACTATTCAGTCAATAATGGACCTGATTATTATCCATACCATGAGGAACCACCATACAATACCCCGCCTCGGAGCTTTGAATATTCTCCAAACCGAGACAATTGTGGGGATTATTATGAACCTTCATGGTGATCAAAATGATTATGACGAACAAGGGCCAATGTACGATGACCCGCTAGATCCACTTATTGAAGAGATTTTGTGGACTAAGGAAAGAATACGTAATCTTGACCGAGCATTAGCGGTGGAGTGTTCATCATTTGAACCACCCTACTGTCGTGATTACTCTCTGACTCGTGAAGAGCAAATTGAAGCAAACAGAGATGCAATCCAGGCAAGAGAACGATTTCTCAAAACAGTCCAAAAAGAAAGGCAACTGCTCCAAACCCAGAAATAAAATGAACAACGCGAATATTGGGAGCATATGCAAAAGCTGCTGGAAGATATTAAGAAGGCTATGGAACAACAAACTCTCCAGATTCAATATCAACAACAAGAAGAGATGGAGAAAATTGTTGCTCTAGAAGAGAATGAGGAATCCGAGACAGAATCTGAAGTTGAATCTGGTGGTCCCAAAGTGGTGAGATACAAAGTCTAGAGGGGGGGGGTGAATAGACTTTGTTACAATTTTAAAACTTTTTCGTTTCTTTTGAAAACGTGAAAATAGTGTAAATCTAGAGTTCATGGGAACTTTAGATTGTGTGTAGAATTTGGTGGGTAGTATGAGCGGTAATCAATATGGATGGGTTAGTTTTCACAGTTAATATAATTGCAAGTAAGAGTAAAGATAAAACAGAGAGACACGCAAACTTTAACGAGGTTCGAAGGTGGGGTAATCCTTCTACGTCCTCAAAATCCACTATGTAGTTGGTTGTTGAATAAAGAACCAACAATTACACTTGTGTGAATTTCTGCACGGTATATATTCGCAAGGCCAAAGTTGCTACTGCACTTGTGCTGGCTTTGTTGTTCCTTCGAAGGTCACGCTTCTTCAACAACTGCAAGATCCGAACAATAGGACCTGCAAGATCAACTTGTGAGAAAGTTGATCTACCCCCTTTTAATCAAGAAGTTTGATCAAAAGTTATATTCTTCAACGTGGTGTGGTACTTGAGGCAAGGAAACCTTCAAGTGTTTACACTATAGCTCTTTGGAAGGAGGAGAAGTTTGCTTCTGGATAAGGAGTTTTAGAAATCTCTCTTTATCAAGCTTTTTGGGCTAACTGTGAATGAGATAGCTTTGTTATTAGAGATTGTTTCGTTGTGTTCGTCTATCTCGTTGTTATTTCTTCTCCAGTCTTCCAAGGTTGCTATTTATAGCTGGATTGGATAATCTATCCGTTGAATCAAAATAGACTATCTGTTGCATTTGCTGGCTTCAATTTTGAATGAAGATTGTGATTGAGGATTCCTCATTGGAGTGGGTGTTTGGATATACCCAATTGTTTGAGGAGGGATTCCTTTTTCCACAGAATCCGTCTTCTAGCTGTTGTTCAAGAATTCTGGACTGTAGATCTTTACTCAGTTTGTCTTCTAGTGCTTGTTTAGGAATTCTGGACGAGCTCTTTAATTTGAGGGGTCCAGACTTTGTCTTCAACTCATTTGTTCTTGAATCAGCTTAATTATCTTCAATTTAGCCGTTGAAAAACAAGAGATTGATTTTTCCTTCCATTGGGTAGAATTTCTTCATTCAAGACTTAGAGTTTTTCTAAGTCTTTTCTCACTTGTCCGCTTCTGAGAGTTCCGATTTTTTCTTGAGGCATCCGGTTCTTTTGCTGACAAATGCGGAAGAGTCATTCACAGACTTCCGGGTGAGAAAGAGATCCGCGCTAGTCTTCCGATTTGAATGACTTAGCCTTCAACGGGTTGTAGCGAGACATCCGGTTATCATGTAGTGTTCCGGATTAGAGGATCTTCATCTGCTTTGAGAAAACCTTACTTGTCTCTGACATTTCCGATCAAGATATCCAATTTCCATATCACAAAATTTGATTAAGTCTTCAAGCATCAAACCACTTAAAGAAATATCACAACTTTATTGGAAACTCAAGAACTCGGTTTTAACAATATTGATAAAAAGAAAAATTACATTGAATATTGGGGGAGGCCTAAAGTCCCTATTACAATCTAAATACATCATCATCAAAATCTATAATATTTTCCCAATAGAATCCAACAAAGACTCGATTCTTGAATATCAACAAACTTCATCACCACTGTATATCGAGAACAAGATAACACTTGCAGAAATGATTGCACGAGGTATAGTGGTGATGCTTCCTGAAAGCCCATAAAGTTTAATCGTACAAGAGGTGAAGCCTACCGAGGGCCCTGTCTCAGAATTGCCTTCACCCGTTGCACCAAAAACGTTGGAGGAACATGTCCTCCAAACATGTGTTGAAGATACTTCTCCACAGGAACCTGTTATGGAGAAATCCGAGCCCACCACCGACCCCCTTGATTCTGATACTGATGAGCCTAACGAATCTATAGATGAGAAAATACCTTGTGATGCTGAACCCATTCCGTCTATAGAAACTATCACTGAAGACTCAGAGGAAGGACATGTTGTAATCATCGAGCCAGCAACTGAAAGTCAGCCCATTGAAGACTTGGAAAATCAGATCCAGGCACTAAAGGCCAATGATGTGGATAAATCGAGGAGACTCCCACCACCATCCATCCAAGACGAGTCTCCTCCATTTTTCCTGTTGCCACCACGCTCCATGTTTCCAATCAAGATATCCAATTTCCATATCGCAGAATTTGATTAAGTCTTCAAGCATCAAACCACTTAAAGAAATATCACAAGTTTATTGGAAATCTCAAGAACTCGGTTTTAACAATATTTCTAAATAGAAAAATTACATTGAATATTGGGGGAGGCCTAAAGTCCCTATTACAATCTAAATACATCATCATCAAAATCTATAATATTTTCCCAACAATTTCCCCCTTTTTGATGATGACAAACAAGTGTTCAAGAGTTCCGGTCGCTGTACTGAGAACTAATTTTATAACTTTCTTTTAGTTTCTCATAATATACAGCTTGTTAACAAAAACTCTTAAACAAATACAATTCAAATTACAATAATTCCTAAACCAAGTCTTGTCTTGAGATTTGTGATATTTTTCTTGGTCTGTTTCTTAGACAGTGAGTTTGAAGACTTTTCATATTGAAAGAGTTGTTTGTGATAGGAATGGATTGGGATGTCTTGATTTAAATAGGAGAGGAGGTAGAGAGAGGGGAGGTTCACGGGTTCCACTAATTGGGTAGATGGAACGGTGAGAGTAAAAGAGTTTCAACTTCCAAGAAGTTGAGAAGTGGAAGGAATCTTTTACCAGTTACCAATGTGTTGAAACTGTTCAAATTTAAAAATCAGTTTCGTTTGGTTTGAAAAGTGTAACTGTTTTGGTTTGGCTAAGCCCAAAAGAGTGGCCCAAAAAATATCTATGTACTAAAGGGAAATTATTCCTATTGGGTTCTCAACGCCCAAAATAAAACTATCATTTTTCATTCTCTATAGTTCTAATTTCTAAATAGGACGAGGTAGTACCAAAAAAAATTTGTAACTTATTTTAAAAGAAAAGTGGTACTATTTTTCCAAAGTCCTGTACATTATGAAAACCCTAAGGACCAGTACTTAAGAGCAAAGTTGGAAATGAACTAAGGATTAAATCTCAGTTTTAAGAAAGCAGATTTTGTAAAGTACCTGAATCGGAGATCTCCAACTTTAGTACTTAAACTGAGGTATCGGGCTTCCGTTGCTTAGAGTTTATCAATAGTTCATTGCCAAAAACAATTGAAGCAATTGTTAGCCAAACACAGTTAAGTTCCCCCTGAATTATATTCCCCCTGAATGTATGCGCTCAGGAGTAAATCTCAAAAATCACACTCAAAGTGAATATGATCGAGCAAAATAAGCGTAATTAAGAGAACTATTAAGCAATGTTTAAACTAAAACTCATGTTTAAACAAGAAGGTGTTTTCATCAAAACCAAATAATATTTTCACATACTTCCCCCTGGTTTGATGAAAAGAGCCTTCACTACTTCCTGCGCTTTGATGATCCGGCAGTCTCACCAATGCCTTGCATAATTCCACACTGTTCTTTGATGCGCCTTAGATTGTTGTATCTCTCCTTTGTTTGTGCATCATCTGAGAAGTGGGAGGCAATGGTTCTAACAACTTCTGATCCATCAAGGCCAGAGTGTGTTAGATGTTGAGTTGAGTTTTCCGGATTGCTCTGCTGGGCTTCCAGTATCAGTTCCGTCATTTTCAGATGAGATGGAATGTAAGTGAGCTCTCCTTGCTTGACTTCAATAGGCAGCTATGGGATCAGGGATGGACTATTGTGTTGGACAATTACATCTATCTTGCGATTGCCAGTGTAAGTTCCAAAGTGCTTGAACATCCTGAATGCTTCCTTCTGTTTTTCAGCAATAACCTTTAAGTAGTCTTGGATCACCACCTGATTTGCTGAAGACACTGCCAATGCTGATCTGATATCCATCTGAAGGAGTCTCATCTGCTTCTGAAGACTGACTGTGATAGTTGCTATCTGCTCCTTGATTCTAGGAATTTCTTTGAATTGTAGGTGGCTGTCAAATGCATAGGCTTCCATTATGTTTCTCAGAGAGTTACTCAAAAGAGAAATAATCTCTAGAGTCTTGTCCACGGATTTGCTTATCTCCATGAGATCTGAGCAACGTTTTTCTTCGGATTTCTCCATCAGCTTGTTATGCCTAGCTTCCATTTGCTCTATCTCTTGCCTAAAGGAGGCATGCTGAGACGCTAGGGCTGATTCAATCAACCCTTGGACCTTTCTTGTCCAGTTTTCCGGTACCTCATCCGGAAGGGTGGATGTGGAAGAGTTGTGGAAGTGAAAGTTAGTTACCTGATGTGAAGAAGGTGCTCTGTGGAAGAGTTGCATAGGGAGAGATTCAGCATCTTCTTGCTCAGCTTCTCCATCATCAATCTTTAATGTCCATTCAGACTCTTCTTCTGTCTCATCAAGCATAAAGTTTGAGACTTCCCTAGAGAGGGAATCTCTTTCTTCAACTTCATTCTGCTGCTTAAACACAGCTACTGGAGTTTCAGAGGTCTCTAGTCCAGTCATTTGAATTTCCTTCTTAGCTTCTGCAGAACTTCTCTGGATTTCTACAGCTTGCTCTTCTTGAACTTCATTTGCTTCTGGAGGTTTGGACATCTCTAGATTTTCTGTTGACTTCTCCGGAATCTCAGTTTCAGTAGGATTGGTGATCTCACAAGGAGTTGTGAGAATCTCTAAAGCTTGAGAATGGAGAAGTTGCTGGACTTGTTCTTCTGATGTTTCTTGGTTCTGTTCTTGTGGAGTAGAGGCTGCATTCCCCTAGTCAGCTTCAGTCAGAACCGTTTCAATGGCAGGGGAGGTTTCCAGAAATTTTTGGAAATCCTCAGCTGTGGCTTCTATATCTGCTTGTGCTTTAGTGGTAGGAGCCACCTGATCTTTTGTAGCCTTTGAGAAGATTGGCCTGTAGACTACAGGATCCTCATCGTCAGCCCCAAATTCTGAAATTGGTGAGGTGACCAAGTGTTCCAGATGCAAATCTTCATAGTTCATTTGCCATACCCAGTCAACATCCAGGATTTGCTCACAGCAATAGTTGACTGGCAGACCTAAGCATTTCATGATGATATTCTCATTCTTCAGTTGCTGGTCCCAACTCAACAACTGTTCTGCTGAATTTCCAACTTTCCAAGCTCTCCAGTCGTAGTAGAGCTGCCAAAATTGATTCTTAGCATTATCAATTTGAGGTTGTGAGGAAGTTGGAGAATTCTGAACTTGAGGAATTTCTTCATCAGGTTGTTGATGGCTCTGGTTGTGGGCAGAGTTTTCCTCAACTGTTTCCTTCTCCTTCAACTCATCCGGGTTGACATTTCCAGATGTTGAGGGAGAGATGATTTTCCTCTTCTTTTTTCTTTGTAGTTCTCCTTGGGCAGAGATTTCTTCTTCATCTTCAAGATTGACCAGAGGAAGATTCTGTGGTGCTTCAGCACTGGGAGAGGGAGACACCACTTGCTTCCTCTTTACTGACTTTTTCAGACTCATGATAAGGACATTGTCTAAAGAACTTTCCTCTGCAGTTGCATTAGTGTCATCTTTGTTTTCCCCTTTGGAAGACAGATAGTATAGCCAATATCTGGCATTATACTTCTTTCCTTTAGAAGCAGCACCCATGGACTCCAGAATATGTCCAATGTACAGACCTTGACAAAGGTATTTCTGGTTGGGTTTTCCCAGATGCTTTGAGATGGAATTGAAGAAATGTGCAACCCAATTTACCTTAGACTTGGCAATGAGGGCATTGATGATGAAGGCCCTCTCTTGGGTGATGTCATCAGCATGTCCTCCACTTCCACACTCGAGGCATGCGATGACCAGTTCAAGGACTAGCTTGTAGTCCTTGTTCAGATCAGCTTTCTTCGCTGGGCCAGAGGGAGCTTGCCCAGAAATTCCAATAATATTACAATCCAGATTCTTGGCTGGAAGTCTCCCAATTTCAACTCCAGAATTGGGAAGGTGAAGCTTTTCTCCCAATTTCTTCTGCGAAAGCTTCATTTTGGTCCCTCCAACAGTGGAATTGATGATTTGAATCGTCCTATGTGGATCCTTCTTTGATTTGACAGTCTTGACCTTTCCATTCTTGTAGAATTCAAGAACTTCGTTCTCATACTTGAATCAAATCTCCATATGAAGGAATTCTGAGAGCTCTTGAGCATCAATCATCTCCAGATAGGATTGATAGAACGTTGGTGAGAAGCACTTGGCTTCCAACTTCTGGAAATGGCATTAGCGCCAACAATCTTCATTTTCTCAGAAATTTGAGTGAGAAGATCTGAAGAAATTAGGGTTCTTGAGAATTTTATCAGAAGGTTCTCGCGAAGAAGACGATGAAAAATTTGAGTGGGCTGTTGAGATCTGATTATAGTGGCGATTGGGTTTATTTTGGGCGATTTATGCGGCTAGTGGCGATTGGGTTTTTAACTATTCCCAGGGCCACGTGCCCACCCACCATTTTGACAGACGTGGAAAGTGAATTGCCACGTGTACCACACTCAGTCTAATTGAATTAGACCAATTTTGTGAAGCAAATCGGAAAACTTGGCTTCACTTAGTGGTTTTGTGAAGATATCCGCTAGTTGTTCTTCAGTTGAGATATACTCAATTTTGATATCTTTCTTTTCCACATGATCTCTGATGAAGTGTTGCTTGACATCAATGTACTTAGTGCGAGAATGATGCACTGGATTTTGTGAGATGGCTATAGCACTTTGATTGTCACAGAAAATTGTCACTTCTCTTGTCTTGACTCCATAATCCCGTAGTTGTTGCTTTAGCCACAGAATTCCTGCGCCCCATTCCTCTTGAGTTTCTCAATCGAGACAATGGGTGCAGGAGGAGAAGGTGGTGGTGGTACGTGCGCTCCAGCCATCTGCTGGACGAACTGGAACATGTTCGCAACCATTTGTGGTTGGAACATCGGATTGGCTAAATTCGGGTTCTCACCCGCGAACTGCTCCGGAACGGGCTGAGGTTCTGGCTGAGACTGCGGCTGCTGGGGCACATAACTGGATGCTTCAGTGTGCACCGTATGTACACTAACGTGCTCAGGCTCCGCGTGAGGGTTTGCCTGACCGTGAGTCGAGTCTTGACTCATTCTATAATTAATTTAAATTGTAAACCAATTGTTTTACCTTCCCGGGCAGAGATGCGGACTTGTGTTTGAAACTCTTTTAATTTGATTTCCAAAATCTTTTTTTTTTGATCGAACGCTCTGATACCAAAATGTAACACCCCAACTCGAATAACCCAATTACCTAGATTATTTGAGCCGGAGTAGTTACCATGATGGTAAATACGCATGCAAATTTGAAGGATAATTTAAAACCAATTTAAATTTTCACATAAATAATAAATTTCAAATATTAAATTCCGAGTATTGCTGAAACAGTGCGGAAGCTTAAATATAAAACATAACCAAATCGTTTTACATTTTTCTGGGTTCTCGCACGAAAAGGTATTTATTTAATTAAAGCATCATAAATGTGGTCCACCAGTCCGTACATCTCGTCACTCTCATTGGCCTCCGGGATGGGCTCCATGATCAGTATTGTTACCTGCGTGTAGCAAGTAAAACAAACTACACGCTCAGCGTCAGCTGAGGAATACGCTAATACAACAATTCCAAATTGAATAGCGAATAGACATACAATTATTCATGATGTGACATAATATAGCATGTATGTTCAAGATGATGGTAATGATACGTAATTGATGCGATACGTAATCATGATGATTTGCACTTGATGATAATTTCATGCTGTATGATTTTAACGAGCAAGGACACCCTTGCGCTATGAGATTCGCCCATTTGGTACGACGAACTCACGCGGCCTTAGTCTCAAAAGGAAGACTAGAAAGTAGGGGTGGTACTCGAAACCTGAATACCATGTACGTACACTAAGCCCGGAACGGGTGATGTCGGACTAGTAAGTCCCGCACATCACGCTATAAGAGACGCCATTACGCATGATCTCTTACGCATGAATATGATATGAATGCTACAAATATGGGTAATGATATGAGTCATATGATATGAACAATTTGCAAACAATATGAATGGATAAATATACTTTATTTTATTTGGGTGAAATCTGATAAAAAATATCATTTAATTAAGCTACGGGGCTCGGAACGGTCGACCGTTTGACGCAACGATCGACCTTGAACTACATCGCGTCGGGTTGGAGAATCACCGTGACGGTCGACCGCGTTTGACCGGCGGTCGACCGTTGTTGACTGGAGGTGGACGGCGGTACTAGGATATCTAAAATACTTCTTTGAGTTATTTTAACACTTATGATTAACATATCTATGTATTTGAAGTATACTTAACATTTATATTTTCATTTAAGGTGAAGTATCAAGAAAAACATATTTTTACTTTATGAGTTTAATGAGTTTGATCTTAAAGCATAAATGACTTATAATATGGCAATCAATCCTAACGATATATCTAGATTGATATTCAACCAAGGATTGCGTTACTAAGGTGCAATGTACTCGCCTTGATAACGTTGAAGACGGAAGTGATAGGAATAAAGTATANTATCTCCTTCGTTTCTCAACGAAATCGCAAACCGTTTGATGCGTTGGATTCGCGAGACACGAGGCTACAACTTTTGTTCAGAAATCAGACTGAAATAATGACGTTAAGATATATGAAAATGGCTCACAAGGTGACGGTTTGCTGCTGCCAGGATTTTGAAGAAACTTATGATGATTTCATCTTCTTGTTTCACCAATGGAGTTGAAGTTCTTCCTCTTTTCTTTGCTTGAATGAATAGAATTTACGAAGAAGTTGCTGCTGCATTTTTAACTCAGGATTTTAGAAACTTCGATGTTTCTCCTTGCTCTTTCTTCTTCTTCTTGGCTTAACAATGGAGTATTTTTGGGTTTTCTTCCTCCTGAGCTGCTGCCGACAGAGAGGGGATGGGGAGGGGATGGATGATGGTGATAAGGTGTAGGGATGATGGTGGTGGATGTAGGGTGATAATATAGGAAAAGTAAATTGGAGGGATATGGTAGTAAGGTCCTAATGTGGTTTGATTGAGTATTGGAAGGGATGGGGGGGATGTCTCTACGTGATTTGGAGGGTGTGGGGAATCAAATTTATTCTCCTACTCCGTAACTGATAAACTGGCTAAAACGGTACGCGTTTTTTTTTCCGCCCAAACTGTTCCGTTTTGAAAACGGATCGCATATTTGGAATCAGACTGTAAAAACTAAAATTTTGATATAATTAAAATATTTTTCTGAAAACTTTTATTTTTCAGTGTTCGGGTCTGTCTCAGTCATTAATTAATATTTAAATTAATTAATTCTTTTAGGCCTACTTTCGGGGCGTTACAATTCTCTCCCCCTTAAAATTAATTTCGTCCTCGAAATTACCTGATCACTGGTCACTGAAAAGTTGTGGATATTGAGATCGCATGGTATCCTCAGTTTCCCAGATTGCTTTTTCGACAGAGTGACTCCTCCAAAGCACCTTAACCAAGTGTACAGTCTTGTTTCTCAACACTCGCACTTCTCGTGCAAGGATCTCTACAGGTTCCTCTTCATAGGAAAGATTTTCATCCAGAGTGACGGTCTCGATTGGAATAACGTGAGATGGATCGGATCTGTATCTCCTCAACATGGATACATGGAAAAAATCGTGAATCTTGTTTAGTTCTGGCGGTAATTCCAACCTGTAGGCTACAGGTCCCACACGTTCTGAAATTTTGTATGGGCCTATAAACCTTGGACTGAGTTTCCCCTTCCTGCCAAAACGTAGAACCTTCTTCCAAGGAGAAACTTTCAAGAATACCCTATCACCAACAACATATTCAATATCGCGTCGCTTGAGGTCTGCATAAGATTTCTGCCTGACCGCTGCTATCTGAAGTCGTTCTTTGATCAACTGAACTTTCTCCTCTGTTTCGCGCACGAGTTCTGGACCCTCGAGTTTCCTCTCACTCAGCTCAGTCCAACAAACTGGTGTTCGACACTTCCTTCCGTACAGTGCTTCATACGGAGCCATTTCAATACTTGCCTGATAACTATTGTTATAGGCAAATTCCATCAGAGGAAGATATTTTTCCCAATTGTTTCCAAAATCAATGACACACGCTCGCATCATATCCTCAAGAATCTGGATAGTCCTCTCAGACTGTCCGTCAGTCTGAGGATGAAACGCTGTACTGAAATGTAGTTTGGAACCGAGAGCTTTCTGCAAGCTCTTCCAAAATTGGGAAGTGAATCGAGGATCGCGGTCCGATATGATAGACGATGGTACTCCATGTAGCATGACAATCTCGCGGATATACAGTTCGGCCAAACGCTGAAGTGTAAAATCTCGCCGAATTGGTAAGAAATGCGCTGACTTTGTCAAACGATCAACAATAACCCATACCGCATCACTCTTCTTCGGGGACAATGGTTATCTGATTACGAAATCCATCGTAATGCGGTCCCATTTCCACTCAGGAATAGTGATCTGCTGTAAAAGTCCTGTGGGTACTTGATGTTCTGCCTTGACTTGCTGACAAGTCATACACCTCGATGTGAATTCGGTAATCTCCCTTTTCATAGCTGACCACCAGTAGTGTCTCTTCAGATCCTGGAACATTTTGTTACTTCCGGGATGCATGGTGTACACGGTTCCGTGAGCTTCACGCAATAAGCGATCTCTCACATCACCTGATGGTACTACCAAACGATCTCGATAGTATAGTGTACCATTATCTCGAACAGAGAAGTCTTGTCTCTCTCCTTTGGAAACAAGCTTACGTGTCTTGAGACAAAAAGTATCCTAATGCTGTGCTGAAATGATATCCTGATCCAACGTAGGTCGTATGCGGAGTTCAGCAAGAGTCTTTCGACTAAGAGCATCGACTACCACATTCGCTTTACCAGGATGATAAGCGATGTGACAGTCATAGTCCCTAATCAACTCTAGCCACCTTCTCTGTCGAAGGTTTAACTCCTTCTGGCTCATCAAGTACTGTAAACTCTTATGGTCGGTGAAGATGCGAGTCATCTCGCCATATAAGTAATGTCTCCAAATCTTCAGTGCAAGAACAACAGCTGCTAACTCCAAGTCATGAGTCGGATAATTGCATTCATGGGGTTTTAGCTGTCGTGATGCATAAGCTATGACCTTGCCTTCTTGCATCAGTACGCACCCGAGTCCCTGATGTGATGCGTCAGTGAAAACTGTGTATTCAATTCCAGGTGTCGGTTGAACTAACACAGGTGCCTGAGTCAAACATTCTTTCAACTGTTCAAAGCTTTTCTGACAAGCTTCTGTCCAAGCGAACTTGACATCCTTCTTCATCAGTTTATGAAGTGGTGTAGCGATTCGAGAGAAATCCTTCACGAAGCGACGATAATATCCAGCGAGTCCAAGGAAACTC